GGGGGGGGGGGGGGGGTGGCAAAGCAACTGGAAGGAAAAATTAACTTCGTGAGCCGTCGTTGCTGTTCTATAAATGGCGGCTTTTTCTCCTTCGCACGTATTTATAAATTGTAGTTTTCATGGGAGAGATTGTAATGAGTGTGGCTTTTCTAGTCTAAGTGGAAGAAGTGATTACGTTGCTCTTGTAGATTGCAATGATGATATGACAAATCATTTAGCGGGATGTCACTTATCTAAGAGTGTTCTCCAGGAGCACGAAGTTATACTTGCACGTGCCGGTATTTTCAGGTGGACAGAGGGACAAGTAAAGGAAATGGTGATATGCCCTAAACACAGAGACTGTTACGGGAAATATTGGCGTTCAGCAACGACGTGTCGATATCCAGTTCATAAGGGAAAATCTCAGGCAATAAAACAAGGTCGTAACATGCGTGTAATCAACTTGGAGATGGCCATACAAACAATGGATATGTATGGAGTTACTGTTTCAATTGGATCTCGTGAGTTCTAGTAATAACTTATTTTTTATACATTCAGACTGAGGTTTCTTTTCGTCGTCAACCGTCTTTTCCGCTGATACCGTCTTTTATTCGTCACGTATTTTAGCTATTTGCTCCAGCTGTCGAGGTTTGCACTCAAGTAAGCTCAAATGTGAGGCAAAATGGATCGCACATGTATGTGAAATTCAACGTCAAACTTCAGAGACGAATGATGCGGTAGCAGTTGAAGAGGGGTTAGTACCATTTACTATATACTTATCGTAGTTTCGCATTGAAACTTGCAAGTGGCGCGAGTTGCAGGTAATTTGGCGCGGTTCATTTCTCCGTATATTTCAGGGCGTTGGAACCAAACTGAAATTAGAGAACCACAGTATCTTAAGGACAATTTTTTAATTGAAAAAATGGCACATTTTTTTATGATTTGCCGAGAAAAGAGGCACTTTGCGTTGTAAGTATGGCACTGTTAGAAAAGTTGGAGGTTGGTGAGGGGCGTGGTATGTTGCCTCAAAGTCCCGCCCCGTTCCTACGCCCCTGATAAAAAATAGCAGCATGTTGCCTTCCTAAGTACGACACCAAACATTGTTGTTTTACGGCTATAGGTTAGACTTGCCACAAGTACGCCAGAATTTTCCCTAGCTTTATTGGGCGAGAAAGGGTGAGATGGGTGCGAGGAGGCGGACGTACTTGTTTCGCCTGCATAGTTTTCAATCAAATTAATTATTCTGGCGCGACCAGTGAAATGTACATCTTTGTCAAGTTCCGGTTACTAAACATAGGTGCGGTTATTATATTTTATTAGTTGATATTAAAAGAATGCGTTGGGAAATGATAAACTCTATCAAAGACGTTTGTAAGAGACCGTACGTTTTGTAGAAAACTTTTGTATTCGGTGCAGATAAATCAATTCTGCCGCGGAATATAGACGGAAATTGATATCCATTGAATCTTCTAAGTCCAAGTAAACGTTTTAGTGATAACGTTTGGTTGCCGTTTTTGTGTTGGTAAAACACGCGTTTAATATTAAGATAACAGTGCAATTTTACTAAAGGATGTTCAACAGAAAAACAATGCAAAGCTGTAACAAAACGCCAATAAAGTGAAGGAACTTTTGTATATATTTAGGCGTTTAGTACACATAACACACATTTATATGACACCAATAGCAATGAAAAGAGAAACAATCTACACCAATTTATACAGAATATGAGCATGCATGATTGTATGTCGCGGTATTTCTAAAAGGCGCAAACTCACACTTAATATTTTAACAATCGCCCTCAATTTATCTTTATTTATATTGTTATTGTTATCAATCAGATCAATTCAGATAAATAAACAGCATTTCTTTGCTATTTGCTCTTCAGTTATCCAAATAATTATATGCTATTTACTCTTAGTTATCCAAAGTAGACGCAATCTGCCAAGATATCGTATCGCTCGTTCCACTTAGCACAGTTTATCTTCCAACTCATAAGTAATAACAACAAAACATGGAATTTAATTATTTTTCGCATGACGTGCGCCGGTGAATTTGGCGAGAAACAGGCTGGAAAAGTCCTTTTCAAGGAGAAACCGCGCGAAATAAAAATGACGTCTTTGAAAAGGACTTTGCGAAAGTCCAGCCGAATTTGTCAATTGGCGATTATTTACACTCGATAATTTCACTTTTTCAAATGTGTGATCACTGTGCCTACCGTCAGCCCTTCGCTGAGATGGTCTATTTCATGTTTTACTTAGGGGCGGACTATTAGAAAAGTGATGATATATGGGGGGACAGGGGTAACAGAAAAAAAAATTGTGCACCAGAAGAGTTTGAAAAAAAAAATCGTGCAGAGACTTTTCAATAGGGAAAATTATGTAAGTTGACAGGGCCTATCAGAGGTACAGTGTAAGGGTGGCCCCCAAATTTGGAAGAGAAAAGAAAAATAATTTGGAAAAAATAATCGTGCACGTTGGAAATGGACCCCCCCCCCTCCCCCATCACTTTTCTAATGGTCCGTCCCTTATAGAGTTAACACCAATATGTGGTGATTTGTCAACTTGCTGTAATCTAGCTTATATGTAAAAATTCTTTATGTCACCGTATAGTGACTCCAGGGAGGCAGAATGTCGCGGTTTGCCAGACATGTCAAGACTGAGTATTGCAACAAGCACGCCCGATGATAACAAAGATTTTTTGTGGACTCCAGGGAAAATGACTGAAACTTCTTATTGTGGATGTTCGGAGGAAGATAGCTCAGATGCAATTCAGATTAATCCAATTGAGCAGCAGATGAATGAATTGGATATCTTAAATGAGGCATTCGACAGACTTTCTGGGGGGGGGGACGTTTTCGCCTTTAACTTTCCAATTAAACTGTAGTTGGAGCGCGGCATCTGTTGAGGACAAAGATCTGTGTCTGGAAAAGGCGGAAGAGGCATGCAAAATCACTTGTAACATCATTTTACCAAAAGATGGGCAAAGTCTATTTCAGTCATTGTTGGACAGTTCCAGTGAACCTAGCGTATCGCAAGATCTTGATGCTCTCATGACAGCATATGCGAATGCACCAACTCGAAGACTAAAGCTGCAGATTTTAAGCATATATGCACACAGGTATACAGTGAAAACCCTAATACGACTACACGAGCCATATGCCAAAGTCACCAAGTGGCAGATAAATCAAGCGCGTACTCATGCAAGACTACACGGTCCAGGAACAATCCAAGAGACTAAAAGGTCACACAGGGTGCGAGTCGATGCAGCAAAGCTCGACCACTTTATTGACTTTATCAATAGGGCGCACTTTTACCAGGACGTTGCCTATGGAGTACGTGAGTTAAAACTGGAGAGCGGCGAGAGAATAAAAATGCCAAATATCGTGCGTATCATCACCAGATCAACCATGATAGCGCTCTACATGAAATACTGCACAGAAGAAGGCTTTACTAGTCCACTTAGTCGCCGCACAATGTTCAGGATCTTAGAAGTATGTGAAGCCTCTCAGCGCAAGTCATTGCGAGGATTAGATAATACTGCTGCTGATGGAGCGATGGGATTTCAGACAATTGAAAGAATAGTGAATGATCTTGAACAAGCTGGTGTGGACAGCGCCTGGGCAGAAGAGACGAAAGAAAGATTGAAAAATGGGAAATTATACCTCAGAGTCAAATATCCTGTTCATTGCTCAATGGAAAGCAGTCTTTGCAAAGATCATTGTGTGAACTTTGGACTCAGCGATGCAAACGAAAAATGTTTCCAAAAGCCATGTGGCCACAAACATGAAATGAAATGTATAGAGTGCGAAGATTTGAAAATGGTCTTAAAAGAGATCGAGAATATGATTCTCAGTCAGTGTTCCGGTGATCATGCCCAAGAAAAGAGAGAAGATTTGCTGTATGATCTGCGACAAGCCTCAGAGGACGTGTTTTGGTGGAAGGCCCATATTCTTAGATCTGTGAATCAAGATAAGGCGAAGGAAGACATGATAAAGAGGCTTGATGAGAATACGGTGTTGATTGTAATGGACTGGGCTATGAAATTTTTGCCGACCAGGTATCATGAAAAACAGTCTCAGTGGTTCGGAAAGAGAGGCCTGAGCTGGCATATAAGTAGTGTAATCTCCAAGGTTGATGGAAAACTGCGCACACAGTCATTCGCACATCTCTTTGACAACTCAAGTCAAGATTGGTATGCTGTAGTCTCGATTGTAGAAAACATTTTGAGGACACTTCGAAGTCAAAACCCAAGTATCTCTGGAGCGTATTTACGATCCGACGAAGGAGCTTGCTATCACAACAACATGACCATGGCAGCATGCCAGGACATCTCAAAGCTTACTGGAGTCAAAATAATAAATTACCATTTCTCTGAGCCAGGTCAAGGAAAAGATATCTGCGACAGGATAATTTGCCCAATGAAGTCTGCCTTGAAGACGTTTGGTAATGAAGGTAATGACATTTTAACAGCGAGTGATATGAGAAAGGCTTTGAAGGAGAGGAAAGTTTCTGGAACTACAGCATGCGTTGGCAAGATAGACGAAGCGAAAAATTCCTTAGTGATAAAGAAAGTTAAAGGATTTAGTACAATTCATAACTTTCAGTATGAGAGTAATGGCATCAGGTTATGGAAAGCTTACGGGATTGGCGACGGGAAACTCATCAAGAATGATTTTCTCTTCTCCAGTCATCTAGAAAGGTCGTCACTACTTGAGGTCGTAGAAGGGCAACATTTTTTTGAAAATAACAGCATTCGTGAATTACAAATCAAGAATAAGAATGCACAGCAAGTTCCCTCAGACATGATGTATGAATGCCCTCAGCCTGGTTGCAAGCAAGCTTTTGACTCCCTTAATCAATGAGAAGTTCATCTTGACCTTGGTAGCCATCAGCACGATACGCAAGAAGAATCAGAAAGTTTGTATGACACCATTAGAAGAGACTGGGCAAGTAAATTCGGCAACATTTCAAATTTGAAATTGCCAAGCAAGTCAAAACCTGGAAGTGAGAGCCTGATTCTCGGTGAGTCTACAGAATTATTTCAAGGATGGGCTCTTCATGCGTCTTCTTTCTCAGGTCGCTTTCCCGAAAATGTGAGAGACTACCTGATCGCAAAGTTTAATGAGGGCGAAAAAACTGGTAAAAAAGCTGATCCTGTTGGGATTGAGACTGAAATGCGGAAAGTGAGGCACACCGATGGACAAAGAATTTTTGCAAGAGAGGAATGGCTAAAAGCTAGCCAAATTAAAGGATTTTTCTCGAGACTTGCTGCATCCAGGAGAAAACAGATGCTAGACAATTCTCTCGAAGACATAAGTGAAGAAGATGTTAATGAGGTTGAAAATGAAATAGAGGAAGAAGAATTCTTGTCGTCGGTTCATAACGCCATTGGTTTAACGCATCCAATCATGTATGATAATTATAATATTTGCAAGTACTTTGTTGATCGTAAATTGAACAAATTTACTGTTCCTTTATTAAAGGAAATGCTGACAGCTTTTGGTGCCACTGACAGGAAACCAAATCTTCTTCTCAAGATCGAAGAACTGGTAAAAGAATGTAGTTGTTTTTCTATGCAACAACTGTAAGCACCACTGAATCGCACTTAGATTGACATTAATTTAGATATTGACTTTGTGAATTTTAAAGCCTGATTCACCACTCATGCAAATACTGTAATGAACACGTACATGATTTGTTATTAAATATTATACGGTTTGACAAAACAGAAAGCAACCACTTATGCAAATGATTCATGTAATTTCTGAAATAAACCCTAACGAGATTTAGTTAGAATGTCTTTTTTAGTTGAATTTGAACATTTAAACCCCGTTTGCCACTTCACTGTTTTGCTCGTAGTCGGCAAAATTTTGTCCCGCCGCCGCAGTTGAAAATATTCAACCTGGAAGAGCATGGCTACAACTCCTGCAACGGCCAAACGAAATCAGGTTAATTGTTCTAAGCGTTTTCTGGTATTAAAGCAGGCGGAAGTAAAATACAGGGTTCGTACACCTTCATAATTTAAAAAATCCAGGGTTTTCCAAGACTTTTTTCATCCTTTTTCCAGGAGTTTTCCAGGAGTATTTGAAATATATAAAACAAACAGTTGGCAGTTTTTTTAGTGTTTAATACCATAATTAAATATATTAATAAATTAAATAGCTCAGTTTCTCAGTTTTCCAGGGTTTTCCAGGGATAAATTTAGAATTCCAGGGTTTTCAAGGGTTTTCCAGGACTAAAATAAAAATCCAGGGTTTTCCAGGATTTCCAGGGGCCGTACGAACCCTGAAAATACCATGATGTAAACAATATCACTGAGTTGTCAACACTAAGATCGTATGTGTCTGGGGATTTTTGAGCACACTTGCTTCATGGATTGGTAGAATTCAAGACTAACTGTCCCATTTTAGTCGTTCAAGGTGAACTGGTGAATTTCTGTTGATTGTCAGTGGCAATTATACACTTTTTCAGAGCTGTGGACGTTCTATGGTACTGGCGCCCGGTATGTGAAAATAGTAAAGTTTCGCATGAAATTTCATTCTTTACAAAATACTAGCCGCAGATATTGTTTCAGTTATAGGCTATTCAAACCTTGCTGTTTTAAGTTAGCCTTACTATATTTTTCAGTTTTGTCCCAGTAACGGAAAATTTGACGACAAACCAGGGCTACTTTATTTACTTTCACGGCAGGTCCGAGAGTACCACTTTGTAATGAGGCCCTGTCGCTCACTTTGAGAAAAACAGTCAAGACAAATTTTTCTTTTTTTAAAACATCACAGATAACTGTAAACATCGACTGAATATTTCTAGAAAATAGTGAATTTTTTTCTCTGTAGGAGGCCTCAAAAAGATCTATAAATAGGGTCTCACGACGGCGAATTTCACGTTTTACGGTTCACTGGCGAAAAATCGCGTAAGAATCAGAGGATTAAAAAAATTTAAACAAACTAAATCCGTTTCGGACATAACCATTCCAAGTACTGTTCCTAAACAAAATATAAGAGCAACTCGATTTTAAACCAAAAATCGAGTGACCGGATTTTACAGACACAGCCTCTTAAGTGCCGTTAAATATGTCGGGGGTGATGTGTGTCAAAATTAAGTGAAACATTTTGACAATGATCTTGTAACATTTGGTATGTGCGTCAAACAGTTTGGCAATGATTTGGCATCATTTGACTATTGTTTCTGTCTATTTATGGCAACTGCAAAACATTTGGTGACAATTAATATAAAAATATTCAACAATTCTAAATTTTATGGCGGTGTTTTCATAGAAAATATTTTCCCCCGGCCTAGGATCCAAGAAAGACTAGAATTATTTCCTGGTCTGCAACAAATAGTGGCTTAACCATAGCCCCTTACCCCTATAAGCCCTATTATGAAGTCAGTTATAACTTGATTTGATCTTGAACTCATGAATTTCTTGGCCCTCTTTAAAATGGGTTAATTGTTTATAAATGGGAAACCTAAACATTATGACATTAAACACTTGAATTTGTTACAAAGCATACAGTAGGTGTAAGGGCTGGGGGCTAAAATAGTAACTATATAGGGGCGCGCTTTCCATTTAATGGCCAGATTGGTCAGACCAAAATCTCTGTATCAATGGAAAGATCTAGTCTATGTTTCTTAGGCCCGGTTTAGACGGCGAACTTCTCATGCGCCGAATCTAATTGTCGTAGATACGGCAAAATATCGGAAACTGATTTAGACGTCGAACTTAATTGCACCGTACCAAATTGCGAAGACATTATATTGGAAATATTTACAATGCAAATATATAATAATCATATTATGATGTTAAAAAATAATTATGCATTAGGTTCGGCGCATGAAAAGCACGGCGTCTAAATCAATGTCGAACCTGTGTCGCATATACGACTTGTCCTGTCGCATATCACAAAACCACACTTATGCATGTTTTAGTTTCGATTATATGTACAAATATAGGCCTAAGTTAAAAAAACTTCAAATAACATCAAAATGATATTAATGAAAGTTTTCAAGGTTTAGATAGGAAGCGACATAATTTTGTTAGAATACAAACAGTATAAGCCTGTTGGGGTCAGCGCTAAGTATAAATACCTCGACCAACAACATTCAGTGGGTAAAGCAGTCCTCAAATACAACAAATCGATTTCTAACACCGAGTATTAAATTGTTAAGCATTACAAATCTTAATGAGCTACTTCAGCCCAGCTAGCCGGGTTAGCGCGGTGCATGTAATCGCAATTCAAAAGTCAACTTAGCCGGGACAACTCGGCGAAGCGGGACAACTCGGCCCATAGATAGATAGATAAACTTTATTTAAGCACACTAGTCCCATTCAACACTAAGCTGATTTCCATGAGAGGTGTGTGTAACAAGAAGTATGTATCATGGAACAGTAATGCGGGCTCAGAGTACTAATGTATAAAAGAGATAGCAGTTTTATTAAATGTGTCTTAATCTACTGTACTTAAATGTGTGCATGTGTTAACATAAAACGGGATGTTTAACATGGTGTCAGGTGTGTAGTTAAACGAGCCTGAAAGAAACATGGCGAAACCAGAAACTAGTGAAATAAGTCGACCAATTTCTCACCTAAAACCACCTACTGAATTTGACTTCGACGTTTCAAATGTAGCGCACTCATGGAAACGTTGGCGAGAAGAGGTAGAGCTGTATATGGAATTGGCTATGGTTGGAAAGAAAGAAGAGACGATAGTTAAACTCTTTCTGTACATTGTTGGAAGTCAAGGTCGAGAAATATACGAGACATTATCGTTTGATCAAGAACCCGAAAAGCGGAGCTTTAAAGATATTGTTGAAGCATTCTCGAACTATTGTGACCCGAAGAAAAACGAGACGGTAGAGAGATACAAGTTCTTTACAAGAGTGCAAGAAGCGGGAGAAACATTAGATAAGTTTATCACAGATGTGAAAATTCTGGCTGCAACGTGTAACTTTGAACAGCTTAAAGAATCATTGATCCGAGACCGAATAATTTGTGGCATGACTGACTCGAAGCTACGACAGGACTTGTTAAAAATACCTGAACTGAGCCTAGATAAATGCATAGAGAATTGTCGCGCAGCTGAACTATCAAAAGAACGAAGTAAAGAGATCGAAGACAACGATAGGATTTATGCTTTCAACGCTGGACAGGGCGGTAAGCAAAATAGAAGCCGAAAGGTAAGAGACGAATATAATTCTAAACATTTTAACAATGCCGTAGGCGTAGACAGGAAATGCAAATATTGTGGGGGTATGCATGAATGGAACAAAACAAAGTGCCCTGCGTATGGGAAAGAATGCCGAAAGTGCCGTAAATTAAATCATTTTGCCTCTGTTTGCAAAACTAAAAGACAAACAGTTAAAAAGGTAGACACTTCTAGTGATAGCAGCGACTATGAGGAAATTAAAATGGTAAAAGTGGACGATAAGAGAAAGCCAGAAAAATCATCAAGCACAAAACAATTCCCAAAGCGATTATATGCCTCAATAACTGTTGGTAAACAGCCGGTGAATTTTCAATTAGACAGTGGCGCGACATGCAATGTCATTTCATTATCTATGTTAGAGCGCTGTTTAGGAAAAGTTCAATTGAAAGGAACAAGCCGAGTTCTCAAGATGTATAACAAAGCGACGGTACAACTGGTCGGACAGTGTGTGTTACAATTAAAAAATGAGAAAACTGGCAAAAGCTATGAAACTGAATTTGTTGAAACAAGAACGCACACCATTGTTAGGCAGTGAAACAATTCAACAAATGAGTCTAATTACAGTCAGAAAGGAGAATATATTGTTGTTGTCGGTTAAATCGAGTAAAACAGCGTTGACTAAAGATACCCTTATTGAACAATATTCAGATGTTTTTCAGGGGACTGGCAAATTTGACGAACAATATCATGTAACAATTGATCCAGATGCAAGACCTGTGGTTCATCCACCAAGACCAG